CAACACACTCGTGAAATGGCCCTGAAAGTTGTTCGGGTTTTTCATCTAAAATAAGCGACATTAATTTCTTGACGACCTAATATTTCTTCAAAACGTCTATTTTTATTGAGTTTACTAAAGTGAAAGCTTAAAAGAAGGTAATATAATTAAATGTGCATGTTGCCGTGAATAAAATGGAAAATAATTTTCTATCTGAACAGCGGAAATAATAAGATTGAATTAAATTGATACTCAAATGAGGTACTTCAATTTAGCATTAACTAAGAAACGAGATAGTAATTTAAAGTACTTTAAATGTTCCATATAAGTGAGTTTCGTTTGATTTTCCTATTTCTTCTGTCACTGTCAGTTGTTAAGTCATGAAAAGAGCATTATGCCCAGAAAAGAAAGCAAGACATAAAAAACTGTAAAAAACAGAAAAAATTTAAGTTTTAATATTAAGCCTAATTTTATAGTTTTACAACATATGTAAAATTATTACTTCTTCGGGTTGCCATATATAACTGCAAAATTAAAGATAGTCAAATCACCCGTTAATATGTACAGAGCTCAACATTGTCATACATTTTACTGATATAAACTGTAATGTTTTTATATATTACAATTGGTACCGTTTATTGAAAAATAATAGTTATTTTAGGAATTTTAGTTTCTCAGTACTACGTTTAAAAATTACATTAATATATAGAATGTTTCTGTCCTATCGAAAATCATCCCTGACAAGGTTAAAATTAAAGCAAATTCTTCTAAATTATCTCAGTGTTCAGTAGTTCAATGTTAATATCAAAGTAAGTGTCACTACCTTAAACAATTAATTTGTCCTTCCGTTTCATTTTATTAGAATTAGATAATACTAGTAGAAATGCCGCCCGTAGGGCTGCTGTTTACTAATCGTAGTATTAATACTTCATTGAAAAAATAATTAGAAAAAACTGAACATTTTCTAAAAAATGATTTTTTTCTAGAAAGTACTGCACGGGAAAAAGTTTGCTCTTTAGTTAGATGCAACTCATTTCATCAAAATGATTCAATGTACAGAGCTCAACATTTTCATAAATTTTACTGATATAAACTGTAATGTTTCAATATATGTATTAAAATTAGTACCGTTTATTGAAAAAAATAATTGTTTTTTTAAGAATTTCACTTTCTCAGTACTACATTAATCAAGATATAATGAAGCCCTCATGTATAGTCCTAGTGAAAGCCATTTTCTGGTTGTGAGGAGAGTACTTTTATTTAAAATTGTATTCTATTGTAAAGAAATAGTTGTTGCACATATCACAGTTATTTTTCTAATTGTCTGAATCATGAATACCCAAAGTGTAAAATTTTTATGGATTTGTGTTTGTGGTGCCATTCACTAGATGACGAAGGAGTTTTGGTTACACACATAGATACTGACATACACGCTATGTCCATTATAGTAAGATTGACTACGTTGTTAAGATATGAGTATAAAATTAAGTGATTATTAAGAAAACTCTGACACTGTTGAAACTTAGAAAACACTGACTGACTGTTTGATGTTGACATAGAAATCGTACCGTTATATCCAGGATGACAAATACAGCTGTAATTGTTTCCTCTGTCGACACACTGCGCCGGACTAGGGCAGGGGTTAGGTTGACACAAGTCTACTTTTACTTGACACCTACGTCCATTGTATCCTGGACCACAATGACACTTGTAGCCTGCAACCAAGTCTTCACAAGCACCACCGTTTATACACGGACTAGAATCGCATTCGTCATATTCAAATTCACAGTGGTCGCCTCCGTAACCTTCAGTAAAAAATGATACGTTGTACATATCTTAGTGAAAATTATTTTTTAATGGCTGTTTTTAATATTTTAATTTAGACATTTTGTATTCTTTGCTAGAGGAAGATTTGGCGTGACGTAATGATGATGATGTGTGAGGCCTAGAAGTATCCCGAGTGTCTAGATTTGATGTGACGTCTCGAATTTTGTAGATTATTGAAAAAAAGCGTGTAACAATATAAAAAATATCAGTCAATCTGTGAATTTGCCACTGAATCTGTAATTCAGTTAATTAGGCAATGAATGAGTTAGTCAGTTCAATACTGAAAATTGTTTTGAGATTGTGCCATTGAGAAGAAGTTTTACAAATAAGTGACTGTTAAGGTTTATTTGTGAGTTAAACCTAACAAATGCTAAAACGTTATCAAAGAAATAAGTAACTTGTTAAAAATAAGTTGACTGGATATTTCCTTTTTTACCGAAAAATGAAAAAGAACCCGTCCAATGACAGGGAACGTTACAATATATTGATTTTTACAGTACTTAAAGTGTAGTACTCTCTCCAACAAAGTAAATCACTTAACAAAAAATTTTTTTATTACGACTTCCAGAAGTTAAGGCTGACAAAAACATCTTTAAGTATTTCTTAATAAAGCATTAACGAAATAAATACTAAATATGTGAAAAGTAAAAGCTTTGAATGTAAATATCATAAAATGCAGTTAAAATAAAAATGTATTTATTATTTGTTTTAAATATAGCGCAAAATTCTCCCAATAACCCTTTTCAAAAATGTATCTAATAAATAAAATTCAAGCAATAGTTTTTCATGTTACTTTTATGAACCTAAGAAAAACTAAGTCAAACAATAAGTTTTTGCATTATCCTCAGCTATCAGTGGATTAAATCTGACGAATGAAGATGGAGAATGAGAAATGCCACACGATACTGTATATATGTGTGAGTTTTTCCAAATAAAAATATTTTGTTTTATTATATGTTACAGCTTTTACAGTAAGGAAGATTATTTTTTGCTGTAACGTATAATGAAATAATATTTAATCAGTAAGTAAACTCAAAACGAAACTGTTAAAAAAGATAGTATTATTTTACATTGTATTAAAGTTGAGGTTATACTTCTACAATGTAGGACCAAGTTGATCAGTTTAAATAAATCACCAGTATATCAAATAAAAGTCCGTTAATTACTCTAAAGTCTCAGAATTATTACTCACTGTTTAAGGAATGATCTAGTAACTCCTTTTTTTAGGATATTTTAGCCCCCCCCCCAAAAAAAAATATTATTATCGATGAAAAAAAGAAAGATTTCATCATATGTTTTACAGTCATGTTCCCATTGAACTAAATTTGTCAAATATTTAACTAAAGTAAAGTATAATTAATTGTTTGTTTTTTCGGGGTATTCACATAAAGCTACCCAAGGGCTATATGCGTTAACCGTCCCTAATTCTGAAGTGATAGATTAAAGGGAAGACGGCTAGTCAATAGCACCCACCGTCAACTCTTGGGTTACTCTTGTTTGACCTGATATAGTGTGAGTTCACCGTTATTCTTATGACGCACCTAGGCCCCAAAGTGCGGAGCACGACATATATATGTATATATAATTTGTTTGTGGTAACGGTATGCGGACAAAACATGTTAGACCAAATTCTACCTATAAGATTATATACTATGAAAGATAGAAAGCAGAAAAATTGGTTAAAGTTAGTTGAATTACGAATTTCATTAAAGTAGAGCACGAAGAAAGGTATGGCAGTAATATTAAATAAAATAATGTTTAACATAGATATAAATATTAACATTTTAGTGTATGTTATAGGTATGGCAGTAATATTAAATAAAATAATGTTTAACATAGATATAAATATTAACATTTTAGTGTATGTTATAGGTCTTGAAAATAGTCTACCGTGATTAAACTATAATTCACAATTTATATTCCACAATCCCCAGGTGAGTCAATAGTAAGTTTACGGACTTAAAAGGCAAAAATCCAAGGTTCGGTTCCCCGCAGCCAACAGAGTGCATGTATCCCACTGTGTAGCTTTGCACTAAGAAAATAGCAACAACAGAATAGACACGATGTTATACAGTTCTTATATTTGTTTAAAATTTTCTTCGATTTATATAATTTTTTTCACTTCTTTTGCTCACTCTTAAAATGTAAATAATTTATGATAATTAAAACTTAAAAATTAATTGATAATTTTAAGAACATAAACATTTGATGTTAATTTTCTTCCATTGGCAATACCTGCATGAATTATTATTCTCACTAATTTGTGTTTTTGTGTCTGTTCACGCTTTAATAAGTAAATATATATGTATTTACGATTATTGGAAAAATGAGTATATACGACACTAATCGAATAAGAACCTATGTCAGGAACACAATAGTGTGTGAATCTTTCTGATGGTTGAGACACGTGTGTGTGCGATAAAAAATCCCAGCAATGTAATTACTGTTATTGCTGCATTAGTTATGCCCCCCCCCCCACCAAGTGGCTCAGCGTTTAGTTTAAGAGCTTATAACGTTAAAATTAAGGGTTCGACTCCTGCGATGGGCATAGTGCATAAAGCCCATTGTGTAGCTTTGCGCTTAGACAAATAAACAGACTTCAGCGATATTTTCAGCCTTTCATACTTTAGCTTTAGGTGTGTTTAAGTTGATGCAAGTAATCGTTCTTACTCGCTAAATTTCACGTCAGGCACTAAATAGTTTACTTTCCCAGCAGTTTTTTTGCCAACTACTCTATATATTAAGTTAACTATTTCCACAGTTCAGTGCTAGTACAGAATCTAGCAAGTACATTTATTAAGTACAGGTAATTTAATTTTTTGTATTTTGGTGTTGACTCTGCTAAAGACACTGTACCACAAACTAAGCATTGATCTATTGATCAATTTTACCTTCGTCAATAGAGTATAAAATTAGAAACAAAATTTGTAAATATTGCCTTTATAACATCTACTTGATTTTACATTCATTTTATATTGTACAAAAGCATTCATGCTATTTGGCAAAACTGTAAGTCTAAGTTTCTTATATAGGGGAAAGTTTATGCAACTTTGATCCCTAGATTTTATTTGTTATATAAAAACAAACTTACCTGGTAAACAATAACACTTGTACCCTCCGGCTGCATCTTCGCAAACGCCATGAACACAAGGGTTTGACAAACACTCATTCACATTTACTTCACAGTTTTTTCCTATAAATCCTGATGGACATTCGCAGTTATAACTCGTCTGATTTCCCCAACAGGTAGCGTTGTTCAAACATGGCTGTCGGTCGCAAAGATTCACGACATCATCGCAGGACTGTCCATGATAGCCTGTTTAGGACTTCAAATTAGTAACAAACTCGAAGAAAAACGCACCTTTTTATTTTTTTTATAATAGTACTTAATGTATTTATTTAAAATGTTGACAAAAAGACAAGTTTTCATGGTTTAGTAGCCTATACGATCAACTACATTTGCCCACTCAATGGGTAACCGGAAATTTACGGACTTAGCGCTAAAATCCGGTGTTCGATTCCTCTTGTGTAGAGAGCGCAGAGAGCCTATTGTATAGCTTTGTGCTAAAAGCATACAAACAAGCACCATTAGTTCCTTTATTACATGTACTATCAAAGGTAACCGACAACACCGGCCTTAAGAGGTAATGTAAATACGGGCGTAAGCCGCCCCACTTTAACTGTTTTGAGCCTTGGCACATAAACCGGTCATCTGATGCAAAAGTATTCATGCTACGCGCGGTATTAAACATTAAACGTCATTTTCATTTGGCTTCGGTTTCATATATTATGCTACTATTCCCCTCGCTTGGTTAAGTCCTCATTAGCGGCATTAAAGGCGGTAAAATTGAAATGGATGCCAAACTCGAACTGTCCATCCGATTATTTATCCATTTAAACTCGATTTTGAAGAGGAGGAGCCTACCCAAGTTTCTTTACCAACTTGTATCTGGATAAGTTCAGCAAGATCCTAACAACAACTTGTGACACCAGATAGACAACATCTGTACCTTAAATAAATATATTAATAAATAATTTATACATAAATACGCTAATTAGTTTATATCCTATGTTTCGTCTGCTAGTATACTGTCATTTTCAGGAACGTCCTGAGAAGGACTACTTTTGTTGGTAGAGACTGGGAATCGATCTTGAGTCGTCTTGTTAGAAAGGCTGTCTCCTCATTAGAGCTTGAACCATTTCATGGTTTCAAGAGGGGTATCCAGGTTTTGAATACCTCTGTGCTAGGTTGATTGAGTGTTATCAGTTAGATGGATGAAGAAGTCTTCATATATATATATATATATATTCTGTATGTGACTCATATTCCATATTATTGACCCAATGAGCTTTTGCAGATAAATCTGTATTACAGTGTATATTATGCTCCCGAATTCTGATTTATGTTGATCTTTGCACTGGAGTCCATATTCACAAGGGATGGTGTAAATGGTGTTTTTGCTCTCCACTCAATCTTTAGGTGGTTTGGTTTCTACTAATAACGATTTTATTGTATTGTGGTTTCTGAATACTCTTTCGAAATTATTCTGTTTTCATATCCTCGATATGTTTTGAAGAAACCTTTAAAATGAGGGGGAGGGGTGAAATGTGGCTTTATGCCTGTAATGTTCTTCGTGCTTATTCTCGGGGTTTATTTACAAGGAAAGATATTGTAATGTGTTTCTCTTTCTTCTTCTTTGTATATTCTGTATTACAAATCATGTTCATTCAGTTTAAATTAGTTACAGAATGAGACACTAGGAAATTGTTATTTCTATGGTTGCTTCATGCTACTATATTTGGTGAGTTTAGAGTAGAATCAACTCGTCACCAAAACACTGAGGGTAAACAGGCCACACACACACACAAAACGGAACTTACTTAAAATTAAAATGATGTTATATTAAGATGTAAATCAAAAGCTCGTGTCTCTAATTTCACAGAAAACTTTATCTGCAACTTTAATGTATAATTGTTCAGCCAATCTCTGAAATAATAACGTCTCTAAGAAGCATTAACTATTTTTTTTAGAGTTTTGTTTTTACTCATACCAGTTACTACTTAAATTTGAACTAAATGTTAAATGAAAATTGAATCTTTAAAATATGATAGCTTACTATGATAGGAACTAATCTCTGAAATTAATCACATACAACATACAGGATGAAGATAAGGTCTTAAGCATTTTGTTTAACTAATTCAGTGTATATATCTTATGTATATAAAGCACAAAAATCTGCGTGTTTGTCTATCCGTTATCTAACTGCTTCTAAGTCGCTGGCCCAAGCTCAACCAAACTGTGTGAGATGATAGTTTGGAACAACGGGTATGCTAGTGGTGGATTCTCAACCCTTCCACCCCCATTACTGATGTTATTGAGCATTTATTATCTTTGACGCAATTTAACGTTAACTACATTTATAGATGGCACCACGTCCTCTCTCTCTCACACACACAAAACTTTTATGACATTTTCTATAACACAACATACTTTTATAAAGGTGTTATATATCTCAGTGAGTGCTCTACGGAGGAATGCAATGAAAACAAATGGCCGCCACTATTGCAATAATACATAAACTCGGATGAAGTTTCTACTCCAACAGTCACCATAAGGCTGATATGAAGAGCAGTTTCTTCAGTTATACCCGCTTCCTACTTTGATCCGTGACCTTTCAACTTCGGCCCGTTAGACACTACTGCGGCCAATGAACGTCAATTATTTAATCTGTCTGTAATATAAATTTTGATGGCTGACGTATTCAAGAAATACAGCTTACAACTTGTTATAAAATAAACAGAGAAAGAGAGTTACCATGACCATCGCACAGTTCGTTCCACGTTTTAAGTATATACATATTGAGCTGTTAAAGCTTATATAAAACTTTTCGTGAGGTAATAACGAATGTTGTAATAACATGTTATGATATAAATAAATTGTATTAAAGTTAGGATTCTTGTGTTATTTATCATAGCACCCACCCACGCATTTTTTTTTTCAAGTTTATAACCCGGACAATGACGGTTACCCCAAATCCGATTTTGGCTACAGTATAGTCTAAGTATATATGTAAAATTGACATAATGTTTGTCGACGTAAAGCCTGGCAAACTTTCATAAAAAAAAACAAGTTACTGATGAGAGCTAATCAGACGTAAAATTTAAGAAAGTCATTATTCAAACTGTGTAAATGAAAATACTGTCCATAACCGGTTTTATACTAAACATTAAACAAGCAGTGTATCTTTCGACTTCAAAGGGTAATGAGCTAAGAAACAAGTCAAAAACTGTAATATAGATTTTGATGGCTGACGTTTTCAAGAAATACAGCTTACAGCTTGTTCTAAAAGAAAAAGAGAGAGTCGAGAAAAAGATACAGATATGAAAAGAGAGAGAGTCGAGAAGAAGATACAGATATGAAAAGAGAGAGAGTCGAGAAGAAGATACAGATATGAAAAGAGAGAGAGTCGAGAAGAAGATACAGATATGAAAAGAGAGAGAGTCGAGAAGAAGATACAGATATGAAAAGAGAGAGAGTCGAGAAAAAGATACAGATATGAAAAGAGAGAGAGTCGAGAAAAAGATACAGATATGAAAAGAGCGAGAGTCGAGAAGAAGATATAGATATGATTCCATATGACTCTTCTTCTGTTTGATCCTTGTTATCTTTCTTGCTCATCCTAAATCAAAATAGAGATAAGTTTGTGCCAAATAGGTGATAAAAGATTTAGAAAAAAATGCCGAATTAAATTTCGAACTTAATGAGCTGCTCGTGCAGCAGATATGTTCGAAACACTTTGTATAATATTTAAACTCCGGAAAAACAGCAACAAACTTCGTCAATCTCTAAAAATTTTGTAGCTATCGGTTTATTTGGTCTAATATGATTTAATACATAAATTAAATTACAAGCATGACTACTTAAATAACCTAATGTTAAGAAAGGTTTTTTTCAGTGTTTTCTTAGCTAATCCAGTACGAAGCACTTGGCCTTTAAACATTTTAGATATTGTAGTATTTAGAACAATCTTGCATACATTCAACACCATGGTAACAAAAACATTTACGAGTGATATAGGATTAACTTTAGCATTTTACTTATCAACTTCCTATTATTATTAAAAAAGCTATTTATTGAATTCAACGTTTTCGGTCTACTCAAAGCAAGCCTTATAAAATGACGGAGCAACGTTTTCATATAATACCGAAGAACTTATCCACTAACGGTCAAGTTAGTTAGACTGAAATATTATCTCAGAATAAATATAAAACTAATTCATACCATGTGTCCTTGACATTTTAGTGACAGTGAGGGTAGAGTGATTGGACATATCCGACTATGTTTGTTTATTGTTTTGTTTTATCTTGCTTTTTAACTTTTTCCGTTTCAGGTTCTCTTTGAAAACGAACTCAAAAGGGCAGTTTTTTTATTTCACTTTTTGATAGGTTATCGTAATACCCTATAAATTCAGGGAAATAGTTAAAAATACGTCGAAAACTGGTTTGCCCGAATTAACTCGGGCAAATATTTTTTGAAACATTGACTTATCTCGAGCAAATCACGGAAAAAGTTATCTAAGAATTCACATTGTAATTATTGCATTTTGCCTGAGAAAGGAAAGTCATAGGCCTTATATGTGATAATTTTTATTTTTTCCCTTAGCTTGATAAGTTACTGAATTATCTGAGATTCAAAGTAAAATCTTAGAGTAGTAGCTATTAAAAGTCAATACAAAAACATACGACGGGGTTGTATATGTCAGTTAATAGTTTATGATAAATTTTAATAATTTTCCTAATTTTAGCGCATATTTGTCAACATTTTAAAATCATAATTATATAATTCATCATTTGTTTTAATTTCGTTTATCTGCTATAGATAGACTTTTAACGCCGTTGAAAATTTTCCTTTTTACTAAATTATATTCAACGTGATATCGTTTATTAACATTCGATTAAAACTACAAAAGTTTGATCAGTGTTATATTAAAAAATAGTCTATTCTAGTGTGAAATGTGTAATTATCTGAAAAATCTAGTATTTTACAAAGATGATTTTACACAAAATCCTTTTCTGAGACAGATATATAACAGTGTGTTGTTTTATTTAATATTTCTCATTTTCGTTTATAAAGTTCAAACAAGCCACTAGTGCCAAAATTGCAGGTTAACATTTAGCTCCGAAAACAGAAAATTATTACAGAAAACTAAACAGAAACTAACTCCTTCCATTCAGTTTCTTACCAGATACGAAGAGTTTAACCATTACGGACGTAAATAAGTATGCCTAATGTGAAACTAACATATATTAAAAAATATCACTTTTAATTGATATATATCAATGTCTTTATACATTACAACTGTTAGTTTTACTGACAACAAAACAGTAATCATGCGTCGTTTTTATTTATGACGGTAACCAAGACAACGTACATAAAACACTAGCTTACCATGAGGGCAAAGACACTGGAAGGTAGTATCAACTAGACCTTCAGTAATGTCTACACAGAAGCCACCATGATTGCAAGGGTTACTATGGCAACCATCTTTCTCTTCACAATAACGACCAATGTACCCTGGACAACACTGACAAGCAAAATTATTCTGAAAAGATTAAAAACAATTACAACACATAATATTTCCATACTTCTCTCTAAACTGAATTTCAAATAATTGTTTATTACAATTCTTTTTTTTCTAAGTATAAAAAAGAACTTGCTTTGAACATTAAGTTTTTTTTATAGAAGAAATATTGAATTATATAATCTCAGAACTTCGGGTGTGAGAAATAATATTAAAGCAAGTTGAATGCAGCTTTAAGAATAGAAAATCAACATTTTTGGTGTTGTATAGCCCAAGACTTCTAGCAAGCTTACTGTGACTGAAATACACAGAAAAGCGAAATAGATAAACGTAGTTATTACCCATCTAATTACAGTTAGAAACCATCCTACGTATGGTATAGAAAATTATTTCATTATTGCGTAAGGTGTTCTGATAGGACTATTATCATAATTGAGTAAAACCATCTTTAAAGTAGTGCCATCTTTCTTCCATCCCATGCTTCTCAAATTCGTTTTTAGCCGTAAGTAGAAATTCGATGGAGCTAAATACTACAACGAAGTTTTTAAGAGATTAGCCTACGAACTACCAATTTGTTCTGATATATTTTATTCTCTATGGGGTCCACATACTGCCTCATATATATTAATATTTTGTTTTTGTCTTTGCTATGCTGGGTATAAAGATTTAGTTTGGTTTGGTTATTGTTAAGCACAAAGCTACACAATGAGCTATCTATGTTGTATCGAAACCCAGTTTTTAGCGTTATAAGCCGCTGAGCCACTGGGTGTGTGTGTAAACAACAGACCAAAACATTTGTTGAAATCACCCAATTTATGTGAAAAAATATATATGTGAGATCCAGTTAATAATTAGTGGGGTTGGTTCAATACTGATGCCATTTTTCTGTGACTCCTATGATTTAGGAGCCTTGTAACTAACAAAAGCCATTTGTGCACGAATAGTTTAGAAAAAATGCGTTTAAAAAGCCGTTATGGACCCACAGAATAATTTTAGGGTAAAATTATTTTTGGTTAAATAAAAGTTATCTGGAATGAAACAATACAAGTTTCAATATATATATATGTTTTTTTAGTTTCGTATAAAGCTACTCGAAGTCTATCTGCGTTTAATTTTGAAGTGATAAACTAGATGGAAGACAGCTAATGAGCGCCAGTTGGGCTTCTTCTTTGTACCAAAGAACAATGGGATGGAGTGTCCCATTATAACACTGCTACGGCTGTAAAGGTGAACATGTTTGCTGAAGGGTTTCGATCCCGCGACCCGCAAGTTGCGAGAATAATTAAATTGTGCCTGAAAATATGATTGAAACGATTAGATCCATCTACCTTTCTTAGAATGATTGTAGCACAGTACACTCCCATTTCTCAAGACACGGAATGTGTCCTCACATCGAATCTGTTTGCTTTTCTCTTTTTTTATTTCTATCCAAGTACTAGATTTACTTTATTTCCAATTTGAAGACAAATCTCCCTCAGGTTAAGAAACCATTTTGAGAAACAAACTTTCCACACGATTTGATTTACTCACGTTATTAGATCAACTGGGATTTTAACCATAGCGCGTTCTAACCGACTGTACAGAAGTGTTCACAAAAGCGAGATGTAATTATTGCTCTCGAGCCGAGTTAATATATATACTTAAGATAGACCCATCTCATCGGTTAAACAGAGGAGAAAATACTAAGTATTCTTGGGAAATATTCAGTCTCTAGCAAGGACGAACATATCTGATCGAGCTACTACTGTAATGTAATTGTATCAAAGTTCATAGTTTATCGGCACGGCTAAGTTTATATAATCTATTCTATTTCATAATTTTCATATTTCATGAAAATATCTTCTTAAAATTTGAAAAGTAAGATATTAACTTTCATCAAGTTATTATAAACTGTACTTTATGCATTGTTATGATTTCATTTTAGAGTTTGACATCTCGTTATAAGCGGTAATCAAGCAGTGTAAGCACCTAGACTTTGAAAGTGCAGAACCAAGTAAATGCAAGACAACCAATATCGTGTTACATTTTTGTCTTGTTTTAGTGCAACATTAAACAATATGCTACCTGCAATTAGTCAGCCGCGTGGATTGAATCTCTAATTGTAGCGTTATAATCCCTGAAGTTTACTAGTCTTACGCTTAGCTACGGGGGTGGGGAGGGGGGAGAGAAATATAACTTGTCGAAAAATGCATATGCGGTGAATCTTAGACTTCACCGTTACAGGTTATCTTTGGAACATTACATAATGCATATTATTTTCATGTTTTCGACTTCTAGTCGAACAAAAACATTCCATCTTAAATAAAACAGAGCTAGTCATCATCTTTTGCAATTTTTGTACTGCATAAATATTAATTTCAAGATTCCATAAAGTTAAAATTACTGTAAGTGTCATTAAGGACAATAAACACAAGCCGTTTCTCGTATTCGATAGCTATCCATACCTTACTTTGTCGGACAGCATTATCGCACTAATTAATTAATTAATCTACCATTAAGAAACTGGGATTAATAGAAAAAATATAAAAAATGAAAATGGTTTTACTTCTTGTATGTATACAACGTAAGTTACAATACCTAAATTGTTTCCTGGACATAAATACAATGAAGAAAATGTTGATACCTTTTCTGAATCGACTACGCATACACCTTTTCCTGAACATTTTTCCTTCTGTTGGTGTCGTGGCGCACTCTACCGATCGCACGTTAACTTGTACTCTCCAAACCAGCTCACACTGCTGTTTCAACGATTTGAGACTAACTGAAAATCATAAGCGTTAAAGGATATTACGAACAACCTTTTCTTATGGAATAGAACACGAAATACACAAAGAGTAGCTTTACGTTTGGTTTTGTATATGTCAATATATACCGAAAGTAACCACATTTGTAAAATCAATTAAAACGCTGTTGTTTCATTGCACACAAATATATATAAAACAATGAAGATCTTTCAGGAAGTTCGTTGTTTACATAGTAAAAGAAAACACAAAGTTTTAAGAGCTTCTGAAATGTCAAAATTTAAGTAAAAATTTCCTTTCGTTAGAGATGTAACAATTAATATTGTGTGGTAGATTCTGGTGGAAGAGGACTCTCCTACCAAGGCCAGAAATAATACAGTTACATGTGATGTACAGGAGTTTTATGACACAGAAATATAAACGTTTTGGATACTTACTACTAAAATAGTTAGTTCCAGGAAGGAGGATGTCAAAGCTTATGGTAAAGTTATTCGAGACGTTAGGAGACCATTCCCCAATGACTTGTGGCGACTTAACTTCCATACAATCTGATATATTGTTTGTCGTGATGTTTGTTATCCTCATCTGGAAACTGTCGTTTTGGTCTTGCTCAGTGTTTACTTGGAGCGGTTGAAAGCTGTGTAAAGGAGAATATTATACTGAGGTTACCGAAGCACGGAAAATCAAAACATGAGAGACAAAAAAAAAAAAGGAGAGAGAGAGAGAGAGAAAGAAATGACACCATTTGTATTTGTTAATGTAACAGATATTTCTGAACGAAATTAAACACACTGAATATGATAGTGTCATTATTATAGAGGGTGGTTCATCGTGAGAACCCCCCAGTGAAGGTACTAACTCTGTTGTGTTGTTTGTGACTTTTTATAAAGAATTATGTTACACACGCACTAATATCGGTTACGGGCACTATGAAAATATGTTTTATTTCACTGATTCAATGTTCATGTAAATATAGCTCCCGAAGTAAGGCTTGTTGTGTTACTTGTGGTTTCGTGTTTCTTTGCAGGTAAGGTTTCCTTGACCCACAACTGACATGAATGGTTATGTCTTTGATATAAACTTAAGGAAAGTTTGTCATGAAAAAACTAGACAGGTTTTGTTAACAAAAAGGTTGTGGTTTATATATGAATGTTAAACATATCTGTGTATAATACTAGCACTGGTTGAAATATGTCAAGTAACTACCATCAGTTTATAAGCTGAACTAACTTGGTTAATTTTGGTTTATACATGAATGTTAAACATATCTGTGTAAAATACTAGCACTGGTTGAAATATGTCAAGTAACTACCACCAGTTTATAAGCTGAACTAACTTGGTTAATTTTGGTTTATACATGAATGTTAAACATATCTGTGTAAAATACTAGCACTGGTTGAAATATGTCAAGTAACTACCATCAGTTTATAAGCTGAACTAATTTGGTTAATTTTCGACCTCAGTTCATGAATGAGTAAACTCTCTTTTATAGAGAGGCTTTGTTCGTCAGTGGACCTTGTTAAGATTTTAGAACAATTTTAACGGACAATTACGTTACATGCATCTATGGCGTGCTCCAATACTCTTGGTTTATTCATCGTTCTTAAACTTGCACGTTCTTTCAGTCGCATCAGCTTTATTGTAGTAGAACCGATGTAGTATTGCTAGTACAGGTAAACCAATAAGCCACATTTGATGTTTTCACTGAAGAAATGTGATCGTTATATCTGAAAAAATATAGTATAAAACATCCTGGTTTAAAAATATATTTCATTTGTACATACGGACACATTCTAGATAGTGGGGTGTGTAGTTGTTTTAAAACACACACACATATATATATATATATATATAAGAATATTTACCGATTTATAACAAGGTTATACAGATTAAACATTTAGAAACTATATACATTGATAGTTTACCAAGATTTTTGTTGGTAGTCATGAATTATTCGATCAATCAAACAAACAGGAAAACCATTTTGTAGAAATATTTTGACGTTCCAACTTTATGCCTAAATTCGTAGGTGTTTGACATCTTCATTAAATTTTCTTTAAACACAGTTGGCATAAAACTCGTAATATTAAAATTAAAGCTGGTAAATGTTACCATCCCAATTATGAACCAATGTGTCTAAGTATGTAAGTTTACGATCTTATTGACGTTCAAGAGTAAATCCAATAATTTTATGTTTCCTATTTAAATACTCGACGAACTAAAAAACTTGAAGTGCGTCCATGAATATAGTAAAATGAAACAAACAAAAAGGTTAGTTAGATGACGCATGTATGCGGAACTCACAGCTCCACCATCAGTCTCATCATAAATATTACCACTGAACAAAAAATATGATCCCTTAGTTACAAACATCAATTGACTTGAAAAATCCAGACTTTGGACTTGTTTTAATTGCCATTCAAATTTTAACTCTGTACTCAACTGTTTCCAAATCAAGCAAATCTTTTATGAAAAACAATTTTTGGAGGATCCTTCACACTGCTTTGGCCCGGTATGGCCAGGTGGTTAGGGCGCTCGACTCGCAATCTGAGGGTCGCGGGTTCGAATCCCCGTCACACCAAACATGCTTGCCCTTTCAGCCGTGGGGGCGTTATAATGTGACGGTCAATCCCACTATTCGTTGGTAAAAGAGTAGCCCAAGAGTTGGCGGTGGGTGGTGATGACTAGCTGCCTACCCTCTAGTCTTACACTGCTAAATTAGGGACGGCTAGCGCAGATAGCCCTCGTGTAGCTTTGCACGAAATTAAAAAACAAACAAAAACAAACACACTGCTTTAAACCATCATATTACAGGTATGTGGAAGACACTTTTACTATAGTCAAAGTCATGTTCCTCAATTCTTGGAGCATTTAAACAGTAAACATAAAAATACTGAACTTATGTTCAACATCAGAAAGAACACAAGCTTGCATTTTAAGGTACATTTGTTCATAACTGTGATGGTGGCTTTGAATGTGAAACTTACCATAGAAAAAAACATTTACCGCCTTTATTTTACTTTTTCAAGTTATATACCGACTGTGTTTTAAAAAGTTTACTGAAGATCTTATTTCATCGTATGTATAAAACTCAAGTACCTGTGAATTTAGACATAAAATGTTTAACAGCATCAAAGCACTTCTAGGCAAAAATAGTTTTCGTATTTATTTGATTGATCGAAGAATTCGTGACCATGTCTACAAACAAAATTTTAGTAAACTATCAACCAAGAAAGTTCTTAAACCTCCAGTCTTTATAACCTTGTTATATATCCGTAAATATTACTACTTCAAGTGTATCGCATGTACATCTGAGATGCACCAGATATAAGGATCGCACTTCTGCTAACATGTTTGCGTTTGTTCTACTACAAGAAAGCTTCTGACTCGAGTTCTCCTTTTCCCAGTGTCGCAGCGGTAAGCCTGTGGGCTTATTAAGCTAACAATCGGTTTCGATACACGTGATGGACACGGTACAAATAGCACATTGTGTAGCTTTATGCTTAGCTACAAATAAGTAATCTGACTTGAGCGAAAGAACATGCAAGTTTAAGAAACCCTGTAGAAAAGAGTTACTCTTCATAAGCTGAGGCTAAATAATAACCAGGTTAATTCAGTTAATAAATTGCTGCTTGCTACATTCTTACCACCAGATGGCGCATTTACAAAAAAGTACTTCATTTACCTGTTTTTGTTATTTATATGTACTCAAAACACGAGTTACAAGGTATATCACAGAAATTAAAACTATTTTGCACAAACAATAATTTATTCTCTTATAGTGACAAGAAATGAATCGTTAACTTTTTGTGCACTGCCTTCCGGTGGCTAAGCGGCAAGTCATAGGGCTTTATAACTCTAAAACTCGCGTTTTATATACATAGTGAGCACAGCACAGATAGACCATTCTGTCAATTTGTGCTTAATGACAAACAAACAAATTCTCTGCGATACATTTAATATATCTCAAAATTTATGAGAAACTGGTAATTTTGTTGTATCGATGTTAACTATTGGAGAAAAGAATGAGCTAAAACGGCTAAACATTCCAATGACGTTGACACTTTGAAATTAGTGTAACTATAGAAAACGATTACATTTAGTTAATTCCAGGGGCACTAACTCGAGAATGAATGAGTTGACTTGCGTCCATGGCACTCGTGATGTAATAAAGATAGCTCGGAAAGGTTATAAGTTAAAAAAAAAGTTTCTCAACTGAAGAAGAAGAAGTTTTTCGAGATAGTTGACTGAGTCTGAGAATTCTCGTATTTCTATAAGATGGATATGCTCTGAGGAACGAAGAAACTTCATTAGTTGCTATAAAGATCGTAGAATGTAAATAACTAATTAAACGATTCTGTAATGCACTTATAAGACAAGTAGCTTTGGAAGCTGAAAAAAAAGAGAGTCTTAGTTGAAGTAAAATTGCCTGACTCCTTTTAACAAACTAAAGACATTACTGTACGAAAATGTAATTAGTGTCAAATGTACTTAAAAAATAATTTACATACTTTTGTGGTAATACTAACTTAAACTTTGAGCTTGTATTCATATTCGCGAGGGAATGAAACTGTAAAAATATTTCAAACAGGTGATTTTTATACTTGGATGCCATCTCAGTGTAAACTAGTTTGTTAAAATCAAATTAAACGTCATCGTGCCGTTGTACAAGAAACCGGCAGATAAATATTTATATGTATATAATCACTGGTTCAATATGAAGTTATAATAAACATAACGTTAAAAATTAATCCTTTATTCCAATTGCAGCTCTACTCCACAAAATCCTTGTGAGAGTTGATATGGATAACTCTTTACGAGTAAAAATAAGTTAACTTACTAGATCCATAAGTTAAATTACTAGATCCATAAGTTAAATTACTAGATCCATAAGTTAAATTACTAGATCCATAAGTTAACTTACTAGATCCATAAGTTAACTTACTAGATCCATAAGTTAAATTACTAGGGCCATAAGTTAAATTACTAGGGCCATAAGTTAAATTACTAGATCCATAAGTTCAATTACTAGATCCATAAGTTAAATTACTAGATCCATAAGTTAAATTACTAGGGCCATAAGTTAAATTACTAGGGCCATAAGTTAAATTACTAGATCCATAAGTTCAATTACTAGATCCATAAGTTAAATTACTAGATCCATAAGTTAAATTACTAGGGCCATAAGTTAAATTACTAGGGCCATAAGTTAAATTACTAGGGCCATAAGTTCAATTACTAGATCCATAAGTTAAATTACTAGATCCATAAGTTATATTACTAGATCCATAAGTTAAATTACTAGATCCATAAGTTAAATTACTAGGGCCATGTCCACGTGGTAATGTCTAGAGATTCACAGGAGTAAATGTTTTTCCTGCTCGTAAAGATTTGAAATACTTGGAAAGTTTCAAATGGGCGTAAAATACTAAGTAGTAATTTAAGTCTGGAGTAGGTGTTTGTTTGTCGGGAGTAGGTGTTTGTTTGAACGGAAATAACCAACAACTGGACGTTCTTGTACAGGTCTACTGTTAAATGTAAAACGATCGGTCTTAACATATTATGAATACAAAAATAATTAAAACTAAAACTGAGAAATCACAGATGGAGTGATTAATGTGATGGTTTTCTTTGTTG